TTTTTTTTTTTTTTTTCCCCTATCAATTTCACGTTTTTTTTTTTTTTTAATTACTCCGAAGCCTACCGTCGCTGTTTTTCAATTGGCCGTTTCCGGAGCGTTTGAAGGAAAGGGCAGCATTTAGGACCCGCCGATGTGGAAATGGAGAACGTATTCGGTCGTGAAATGCGGCAAGATACAGGCGCCGCACCTTTGTCTCTTTCACATTTGCCGTGTGGTCCAGCGAAACCCATAGGCCGTAGCAGGAGACTCCGGGTCCCATTATTATAGTGGATGGATTTGATTCATTGAATGTGGACCATTGATCTGAACCATCGACGGTCAGAAATGAAAGAATCCCTCAGTCTATCAAGGGTTGGGACTTTCCGTAGCTAAGGGCTTGGAATTGGAACTGTCCTTGCCTGTGGTAGTGGTAGAGGGGCGGACGGAGCGCCGCTGGCACCGCGGGATTGGGATCGCTTGGCGGAAGGGGCGGCGCGAGATCCTCGCGCGCGCGCAAAAGAGGCAGAGGGAGGGGGAGGCAGGTGGAGAAAGAGCGGGAGAAGAGAGAAGAGAGGAGAGAGTGGGGAGTGCACGCGTGGCAGTGGCGCGTTATGCGTGGCAAGTCTGGACTGGCGCGCTTTCCCATCTCTTTCCGTTCCCGCGCGTTTTCCTCCAGTTGGCGTCTCTCTTTCGTTTCCCGCGCGTTTCTTCCGGTTCGCGTCTGTCTCGCTTTCGTTTCCCGCGCGTTTCTTCCTCTTACCGATGCGGGCAAGCTTGGACACGGTCGAAATATCCGAGGGGAAAAAGGGGGTGAGAGCGCGCGAGACAGCGAGAGAGCGAGCGAGCGAGAGAGAGAGAGAGAGAGAGAGAGAGAGAGAGAGAGAGAGAGAGAGAGAGGTGGATGCCGATGTCCGCTGAACACGTGTCACCCTCATCATTATCATCATTGATTGCCTGTTTACTCATTCGTCTTCCCGGGTAATGCCGCCATAGCCGCTGCCATAGCCGCAGCAGTATCGAGATCGACAGACGTGTATTGCTCTAGTCGTGCCACGTGGTCGTGCCACGTGGCGCCGGTTGGCGCATCGTTGGCTCGCGCTTGCTTCGTTCTTGTCATTGTGTGGTTTCTTGAACTGGTCGTGCCGCGTGACGTGCGCGCGTTCCTCTCTCTCTCTCTCTCCCTCTCTCTCTCTCTCTCTTGTCAAGTCTGTCGGAGCGAGCGCGCTGGCATAGGTGCTGATAACAGCCTCTTCTCTCTCTTTTCGCTTCTTGCAGGGAATGATTGCGTGATTTGTTGATTGAATGGGTAATGGAAACCAATCAATTAACGAATAATCACCGGCCGTGTCTGTCTGCTTAGCTACTAACCGAGCGAACAAAAGAGAGAGAGAGAGAGAGAGAGAGAGAGAGAGAGAGAGAGAGAGAGAGAGAGAGAGAGAGCGGGTTGTTGGTTGCTTAATCAAAACCAATCAAGTAACGATTAAATCACCGTGTGTGTGTGTGTGTGTGTGAGAGAGAGAGAGAGAGAGGGAGAGGGAGAGCCGGTTGATTGATCGCGTGGTGAATCGTGATAGGATAGTGTCATGGCTTGAGTGCCAATGAAAATTCGATAGCGTGTTTTTTTTTTTTTTTTCCTGTTTTTTTTTTTTCGTTTGAAGTTCCGCTTTCGAAGGATGTGAGGGCTCTGCCTCATCACTGAGTCACGCGTTTGGAAATCTTTCCGCTTTTAGAAACCTTTCCGCTTTTGGAAACCTTTTCGTTTCGTTGTCGGAGAGCCTCCCTCCTCAGCCTTCTCCGCTGAAGCAGTTAGCGCCAAAATTTAAGTTTATCAGCGGCGGCGCTCGTCAACGGTTATATTTCCCGCCAAAATCTATCGGGGGCGCTTATCAACGGCTGGGTTTCCCGCCAAAATTTATCAGTGAAGCGAAGCCAATCGTCGATCGAAGATGAACGATCTTCTTCAGGTATTTTTTAAAAACGCGTTTTATTTTCTCTTATTTTCTCTGTTTTTTTTTTTCTTTTAATCCTCAGGTATTTTCTTTGGAGCGGATGACGAAGCTGTGACGAGTTGTGCGCATGGTACTTGAATGACACGTGTATTATTTATTATGGATAAAAGACATAAAAGACATAAAAGACGTAGAAGACAAAACGCAGTTGCAAGTGCTGCATTTTGAGATGGCAGTTTTGAATTTTGTAAAAACAAAAACTGCATGCCACGTGGCAGTAGCTGTTACGTTTTTAAGTGGGGTATGGATAATGACGCGTGAGTTGGTGCGGAGCGAAGTGGATGACACGTGGCTGATGCCTGAAGCATGGAGTGCATAGCCATTGTTTCCCCCCCCCCCCCTGAGGTGTCGTTATTCACGGCGTCCTCAGATAAATTAACGAAAACTCCTCGATTAAATGATATATATGACGATATATACGATATATATAAATGGATTGTCACAAAGTTATCAGAGCGCAAAAGCGAAAAAAACGAAAGGAAACAGAAAAAATATCAATATAATATGAATCCATTAATCAGAGTATCGATTAAATGTTACCGGGCAGTTCTGTTTGTGACGATATATATGTATATAAAATATGAATCCATTAATCAGAGTACATATGGATTTACGTATATATGTATGTAGAGGTATACTCTGATATGTGCGTTAATTAACCAGCTAATCATTGTAATCAATCAGTTAAGGAGTCATATCAATTAATTAACCATTCATTCAGTGAATCAACCAATCGTTCAACCTACATCCACGTGGGCGGCCTTCTACGCAAGAGGAGGTTCTGAACAGGGGGAGTTGTAAGGAAGAAGATAAAAAAAAAATGATTTTTTTTTCCTTGTTTTCTTTCTGTTTTTTTTTTGCTTTGCGCTCTGATAACTTTGTGACGATATATATATATATATACCTCTTCTCCCTCTCTGCCCTCTGCCTACGGTTTACCGGGCAGTTCTATTTGACGATATATATATATCTCGTCAAACAGAGCTGCCCGGTAATCGGTCTGCATAGAGGGAGGGAGAAGAGGAAAAACGAGGGAGGGGCTGAGACAAACTGTTTCGTCGAAGTTTCACCGATTCAACCGGAGGCTGAACCCTTCCTAGACATGTGTACATAGTACGCAGATGTATACTGATATGCGCGTTAATCAGCTAATCATTGTAATCAATCAGTTAAGAAGTCATATCAATTAATTAATCAATCATTCAATCATTTAGTCATTGAATCTATTAAGTTATTATTAAGCCATGACGAGTGAATGGGGTAGTTATCAATTTATGAATTAATTATTAATCAATTAATCAACAATCAACAATCAACAATTAATCAATCAATCATCGACACGTGTCGTTAGTGAATCGATCAATCAGTTGACGCCAGTAATCAACTGATCAATCAATCAATCAGTTGACGCCAGTAATCAACTGATCAATCAATCAATCATTTAATCAATCACTCAATCACTCAATCATTCATTCAATCAACCAAGCGATTAGTAAATTGGATGACAGGAAATAGGTGGCTGCTGACGTGGCGATGGAAGGGGGGGTAGTGTGAGCCCGTAGTATATTTTGAGGGGGGTGATTCGCGCCGTCGACACTGGTGGCACACGTGGCAGTAGGCAAGCAATTTGGTTTATTAATCAATCGGATGGGTTTACCAATCAAGCAATGCAATCGATTAGCGGAGATTAAAAAAAAAGTATATAATTATAATTATTAAGTAATATATTAATTATTCATTAATATATTAATTTGTATATTAATTATGATTATTGTTGAAAGTTGTAAAGTATGTTCGCGCTATCATCAAGGTACAGTGTCAACATGCCGACACCTTTTTAGTTTTTTTTTTGCTTTTTTTAAAAGTCTGATTCTTAAAAAAAGGCAGGTGTCGAAGCAAAAAAAAAAAAAAAAAAAAAAAAGAAGAGGTGAGCTGTCGGACTTTATGAGTGAGTGAACGTGTTAAGCCAGCGCAGTTTTT